AAAATCTGAGAACTCTTTTTTACATTAGATGCCTTGCCTAGTCCTACTAGGGAAGTGGAGGTGGTGTGCGTGGGCCATGAAGAGGGCCAATCCTTCCCTGCTATGCAGGAAACATCTGCTCCTGTATCCAATAGACCTTCAATTGGTTTTCCCTGAATTTGTAAAATTTTTGTAGGTCTAGTAGCATGGATTTCTTGTATCCAAAATGCTGCATCACTAGATCCAAAGCCTCCAGCCCCTCTAGCTTCCTGGGTAACAGCTGTCCCTATTTTATGTATTGGTAACAGGATTAATTGGGCAATTCTCTGGTTGGGCTGAATCTGTATAGTTGTGGTGGGTGGGGAAAGTAAAATCTGTATTTCTCCTGTGTAGTCTGCATCAACAACTCCTGGGATGACTAAGATCCCCTGTAACGAGGTGGAGCTCTGCCCTAATATTAAACCTACGGTTCCCTCAGGCAGTGGCCCAGACACTCCTGTAGGAATGGCTGCTACTGGCGAGTCTGGGGTTAGTACTGCATGGGTGGTTGAGTGGAGGTCCAATCCTGCACTGCCTGGGGTTGCCCTGAAGAGGTCACTGACTGATCGAAATTTGCAAAGGGGTTGAAGGTTGATGCCCCTATTATTGCAGGGGCCTGGGGCTGGCCCCTTCTCAAGTTTCCCGATTGAGGTGATGGGATATAACCTCCTTGGGAGCTATTTGTAGAGTTTAAAGGCCGACCATTTTTATGGTATTTTGATCTACATTCCTTTGCCCAATGGAATCCTTTCTGACATCGGGGACAAACGGTTTTTGGAGGATTAATATTATTCCCTAATGTATTTCCAGGCTGTCGAGGAGCTTGCCATCTGGCCTGAGTATTATTGTTTTTATTTGGGCATTCTCTGCTAAAGTGCCCAGATAAGCCACAAGAGTAGCAGTTCATATTTCTTTTATTACCTGTAGTATTGCTGGCTTGTCCTATAGCCTGTACATATTGAGGGTATGTCTCCCCTTTGAGAGCTGCAGCTATAGCTACACCCTGTATAAATGCTGGACTTACATCAGCACACTGTTTTATAAAATCATTTATAGTTCCTGTTCTGCGAATCGGCCTTAATAAAGCCTGACAGGTATTATTAGCATTTTCAAAAGCCAGTTGTTTGATTAGGATATCGGCTGCCTCTTTGTTATTGATTACTCTCTTGACTGCCTGCATGAGGCGAGAAAGGAAATCCTGATATGGTTCCTCGACCTTCTGTTTAACCTCTGTAAGGGTGGTGGTTTTTCCTGCTGTATAAGGTAGGGATTTCCAGGCACTTACTGCACAACTGGTTACTTTGGTAAGTGCCTCTGTGGGCATATTCATTTGCTCCTCAGCCGTGTTAAAATCACCTTCTCCTAATATCATGTCTAGGGTTATTCTTTTTCTGGTTTTTTCGCTAGTGGCTACAGCTTTCTTAGCAAGATCTTCATATTCAGTTTTCCATAATAAGTAATCGCCTCCTGAGAGACAGGATTTACAAACCTGTGACCAATCATAAGGAGTCATCCATTTACTGGCTAGGGTTTCTACCAAGGTTTGTGTGTAAGGAGCTAGAGGTCCATATTCAGAGCAGGCCAATTTTAATTCTTTAAGTACTTTGTAAGGTATAGGCTCCAAGGTGGGGTTTCTATTCCCACCAGACTCATTCTCATATGTAACTGGGAAGCAGAGTGAGAATTCAAGATCTCCATTAGCTTCAGCTTCTCTTATTGCCCTTTGAAATTTAGACATGGAGCTCATAGGAGCCACAGGACCTGGTTTAGGCTTCCTTTCTAATTTGGGGAGCCTGTTTTGAATGGGAGGGCCATTCTCCTCTCTATTGACTGGAAAGGAACAATGGTCATGTTTATGATATTTATTCTCCTCCCGATCAGTAGGCATAGCTAAATTGCTTTTAGATTGAGCTGAAGACAATGATGATGTGTCCTCTCTGGGTGGAGCCGAGGGACTATTTAAATTTTGAGAAAGTTCAACCGTTTTTGCCTCTGGTGCCAAGGTGTCACAGATTGAATCCCAGAGGGAAAAGAAACATGGCAGGACCTTGTCAGATTCATGGTGTTTCTTTAATTGCTTTCCTACTTCAACCCAAGTTTTTAAATTAACAGTTCCATCCTCTGGAAGCCATTGACATACTTCTTCTATAAAACTTTCTGTCTCACTGGGAAAAACCTCAACTCCAATTCTGCTAGTAAGCATATGCGTTAAAAGATTAATACAGAGTCTTTTTTCTTTAGACTCAGTATGACCCATCTTGTCAATCTAAGTTCTGTACTAACTACCCGCTTACCCTACTTATTCTCTATGGGGTGGGGGGGGTCTGCAGCACCCTACGGTGCAGTCCTATCGGTCCCAAGTACGGGGGGACTTACCTAAGGGAACCCTGTTCGGGCGCCAGATGCCGGGGTCCAACCCCAGCAGGTCCAGGGGTTCCCAAAGGCATAGACGGAGTCGGCGAAGAAGGAAGGACACGGAGACAGTGTTCAGTTGATCAGCAGCCTAGCCAGGATCTCCAGCCAGGATCTCCAGCCAAGTTCTGGTCTGGATCTCCAGCGAAGTTCTGCTGTTTATTGTCTTGTTACATCCGTATTTATACCAGTTGATTTTAATCCTGTCAATTTCTATTACAAAGGTTAGGGCGTTTCTTATCTCCATTCCAGGGAGTAAAGATTATGTAGCTTAAGCATGATTGTTTGTAGTGATTAACTACCCGCCTGGCACTTAGTTAAGGAGTTTCATCCCCTCCCTGACTTCAGGGAAAAATTCCTACCTGGGGAAACAACCTTTCTAGGAGAGGCATCCCCTCCCTGACTTCAGGGAAAAATTCCTACCTGGGGAAACAACCTTTCTTGGAGAGGTGACCTTGGTTAAAACACACAGCGCTAAGGGGAGCAAACATATTAAGAACAGTATGCTATATACGCCAGGTCCCTTGAAACATATGCTGTGCAGATGTTTCTTTCCTGCAGCGACTGTGTCAAGCAGCAAGGATGGACCGGCTTCCGGCACAAATTGGAAAGGAGGAGGTAAAACTGTCATTATTCGCAAATGACATATTGTACATAGAAAACCCTAAAGAGTCCACCAATAAACTACTTGACTTAATAAATGAAGTCAGCAGGATACAAAAATAACACCCAGAAATCGATGGCATTTTTATATACCAATAATGATCTCTCAGAAAGAGAAACTAAACAAACAAACAACAACAAAAAACCCAATCCCACTCACCATTGCAACAAAAAAATTAAGATACTTAGGAATAAACTTATTTAAGGAGGTAAAAGACCTGTACTCAGAAAACTATAGGATATTGAAAAAAGAGATAGAGGAAGATATAAACAAGTGGGAGAATATACCGTGTTCATGGATTGGTAGAATTAGCGTCATTAAAATGTCCATAGTACTCAAAGCAATCTATAGATTCAATGCAATCTCTATTAAAATATCAATGGTATATTTCACAAATCTAAACATTTATATGGAACCAAAAAAGACCCTGAATAGCCGCAGCAATCTTCAGAAGAACAAAGTTAGAGGGATCAACATATCAGATATAAGGTTATACTATAAAGCCACTGAAATCAAAACAGCCAGGTACTGGCACAAGGCATACAGGTCAGTGGAACAGAACAGAAAACCCAGAAATCGACCCAAAACATTACACTCAATTAATATTTGACAAAGGAGGCAAGAGCATACAATGGAATCAAGACAGTGTCTTCAATAAATGGTGTTGGGAAAATTGGACAGATACATGCAAAAAAAAAAAAAAAAAAAAGAAAGAAACTAGACCACCAACTTACACCATACACAAAAATAAACTCAAAATGGATAAAAGACTTAAGTGTAAGTCGTGAAACCATAAAAAACCTAGAAGAAAACATAGGCAGCAAAATCTCAGACATCTCTCATAGCAATGCTTACTGATACAGTTCCTAGGGCAAGGGAAACTAAAGAGAAAATAAGTGGGACTACATCGAAATAAAAAGCCTCTGCACAGCAAAAGAAACCATCAACAAAACAAAAAGGGAGAACATATTTGGCAATGATACATCTGATAGAGTTAATATTCAAAATATATAAGGAACTCATAACCGAAGGAAGACAAACAATCCAATTAAAAAATAGGCAAAGGACCTAAATAGACACTTTTCCAAAGAGGACATACAGATGGCCAAGAGACATATGAAAAAATGCTCAGAGTCACTGTTCATCAGAGAGATGCAAATTAAAACGGCAATGAGGTATATCACCTCACACCTGTAAGAATGGCTACCATCAACAAATCAACAAATGACAAGAGTTGGCCAGGATGTGGATAAAAGGGAACCCTAGTGCACTGCTGGTGGGAATGCAGACTGGTGCAGCAGTTATGGAAAACAGGATGGAGTTTCTTAAAAAAATTAAATATGGAACTGTCATTTGACCCAGTGATCCTACTTCTAGAAACCCGAAATACCATCAGAAAGAATGTATGCACCCCTATGTTCATAGCAGCACAATTTATAATAGCTAAGATCTGGAAACAGCCCAAGTATCACATGATCTCACTCATATGTGGAATATAAGTAACAAAATAAACTGACAAATGGAGTGGATCCAGAGACATGGCAGCATGGAACAGAGTGAGGAATCTTGGAGGGAAGGTGGGAGAGAGTGGATGGGTGGGAGGTAATCAACTAAGGACCTTGTATGCATATATACATGGCCCATGGACACAGACAATGGAGTGGTGAGGGCCTGGTGATGGGGGGGAGGGCAGGGGCAGGCTGGAGGGGGTCAATGGGGGGAAAATTGGACATATGTAATACTTCCATTTATAAAGAATTAAAAAAAAAATAGTGCCCTTACCATTTTGGCTCAGTGGATAGAGCGTCAGCCTGTGGACTCAAGGGTCCCGGGTTCAATTCCGGTCAAGGGCATGTGCCTTGGTTGCGGGCACATCCCCAGTGGGGAGTGTGCGGGAGGCAGCTGATCGGTGTTTCTCTCTCATTGATGTTTCTGACTCTATCCCTCTCCCTTCCTCTCTGTAAAAAATCAATAAAATATATTTGAAAAAAAATAGTGCTTCATATCTTATATTAATGAAAGCAGTTCTTTATACACTGGAAAAATGGCCGTCTGGCAGTGGAGTCTTCCTTGGAGAACCTTTAGTGCCTCTGGTCTCCCAGTTACTGCCCTTGGGGCCCTTCTGACCTCCTCCCTTCCCATCGCAACAACAGTGGGACAGAATAAGGCAGCTCACTGCTGACCAGTTGTTGAGACACAGAGCTCTCTAACCCCACATGTGCTCTTGGTAAATGATTTTTAAGAGCTTCAAAATCTGAGTCATGCTACTTTTCCTCAGCAATAATATGCAAACTCCCTCTAACCTTTCTCATGCAATAGGAAAAAAAGAAAAAGTTCAATAAGAACCTTCTACTTTGGTTATCACTGGGACAGAAAAGGACAGAGGAATAGGAAAGAAAGAAAAGGGAAACAAGGAAGAATTCAGTTCAAAGGGGCAAAGTTGAAATAGGCTTTTAGGAGACAAAGTCAGAGCACTCAAGCTAACATTTCAAAAAGAACACCCACTTTGGCCTTCCATTAATTAAGTGGAAAACAAATACCCAGATTTTCAGTGGTAAGACTCCTTTCTTGGGATGCTATTTAATCCTATTTGCATCTTTAATTGACAGGTACAATGGCAAATGCAAAGAAAATACAGAGTTTTTGTCTCAGAAAGCGCCCTGATTATTTCCAACAAGTATGCCAGAGTACATACGCAAGGCAGGTCTCATCCCACCTTCTCAGTCAACATATCACTGTAACAAAATATACAGCCAATTGGAAATCGCTACACTAGAAATAGATATAAGCCACATGTTCATTATCATTTTAAGGAATGAAATTAAAGTACAGCATTACATGAATTAGAAAAATATTTTAAAATTTGCATTTACTTGCAGCTCAATTCTTTTGTGCAATGATATGAATATGACAACTGATACTTTTATATTTCTACTTTGGTATAATGACTGTGCTTTTTTAAAAAACTGAAACTGGCATTCTATAAGGATTTGTATTGCTATATGGTGAAAAATTTTCACTGATTCATGCCAGAAATCAAGAGAAAATAAGATTAATGAATAAATCATATTTGATCATCTATTAAAGCATAATCACGCTTCAAAATGCATTTGAAGGAAACTAATTGAAACAAGTCACACCTTTGTGCCATTCTCCAGATGATTTTACTTGAATTATTTTGTAAATGTACAGAATACAGTTTGTGGAGCCACTTAGTCACGAGTTTACTGATTTTAGCAAACTAATTTATTACATTAAATTTGCTCACTGAAAAAAATAGCTGGCTGTTTCTGAAAATGTTTATTAAAATATATAGAAAAGGCCTTTACTATATTTAAAAGTGCCCAAGTATAACAGGTACCATGATATAGTAATTATTTACAATATATTTTCAGTGACAATGTTCAGATTAAATGCAGAAAAGAAAACATCACATTTAAAAAACTTGATATTTCCATTGGTTCTTCGTGTTCTGCAATTGGAGGATAACTTCACAAGTTTAGTTTTCTATCTATTCTAAGAGATTTGTGTTGAAGTTTTTCTTCACCATTAGAAACTGTGATTCTCTGTGAGACCTCCTCAGTTTGGCACGCCGATTTTGGAACCATATCTAAAATTAAGAAGAAATAAAATAGATCTCAGAAACATTATTCCATTATTCTTAACATTTCAATCATCAGGAATAACAACTAAATTTGAAAATTACCTGGATTCTGTCTTCCTCTAGATTCAATTTTCGAGCTAAGTCTTCTCTGATATCAATGCCAGGATAGCAGTTTACTCTAAAGACATTTTCCAACACTTCAATCTAAGAATAAGGAAATAGTTATTTAAAATGTTGCTTCTTGGAATGTCATTATAAAATGGACTTTAATTTGTATAGCAAAATAATTTCATTTAAATCTTGGACAATTATTTTGTATGTCTTTTTTAAAAAATGACTACACACAAACTGTTAAAAATGATACATTCTGTTGTTTTATTAATAACGCCTAAATTGAAATCCCAAAGTGAATGGGCTTTTGCTCAACAGGGAGTCAATTTAAGTCTTTGTATTATTATTAGTTGAAAAAACTTCCTACCTGGTTTTGAGTAAAAGCAGTTCTTGGTCTTCTGCCTCTATACCAACTCAACTCTCTTTTCAAAGATAGTCTTTCTGAGGTTGAAAAGTAACTTTCATATTTCATAACTCTTTCTTCTGGCACTGGGTGATCACCAGTACAAGAGAATAAAATCCCATTTGGAAGGCTTGGGACATGTAGATATAGGTTAACATCTTTCTCTAAAAACAGAAAAAGAAGTCCAATCTTAGAAGTCCATCTTAGAAGTCCAACCCTACATTCAACAAAGTTCTATAAGAATTTCAGGAACCTGACTTTAATTTTTCTAGTGACATTCTTCTGCGTTTCACAAGAGACTTGACCTCTCATCAACCAAAACCAAAAAGCAAATCAAAATGAAAATCCTGCCTTGGTGAGAGAGGACCTTTTGGTCTCTGAATGTCACTTATTTTTCAGTGAAAAAAGACTTAGACTATCTGATGTGTCAAATAAACACAGAGATCTGCAGGTGCATGGCCTTTCCTGGGAGTGAACACTATACCCACTGGATTCAAGGCTGATAGTCTTTTTATTTCCCATAGGACTCAGCTGGAGATATTAAAAGTCCTAGATCCTTTAGTTATGTAACTGGATGAAACTGCAGTTTCTTTTTAACTCTAGGTAATATAAAATTAAAGGCCAGATTAAACAGTGCAAAAGAAATAAAAGAGTTTAAAAATTAAGCATACCTGAGGAGCTGCAGGTGTCTGCCCAAGGCCGGTGGGGTTTCATGGATGGAACACTGTCTTTCTTCTGGTCCAGTCCTAAAATGCTCTCAATTGAAAAGGAGCAGGGCGAGGGTTTGCTTTCCCCAAGCCGAGCGCCCTCCTGAAGGCTAGGAGACATCCTCCCGTGGGCTGCACAGGTCGGCAGCTCTGGCCTCTGTGCACCTCTTGCCTGGCTCTGCCCCACACGTACAGGGCAGTGATCTTCCTGCAGGTCACGTTAGGGCTCTGCTGACAAGGGGGCTGGATTTAGAATGTCACTAATTAAAATCCTGTCTTAGAAAGTTTTAGCAAGTCAATGAACACCCGGTCAGCAGCTTGAGGAGTTAATTGTTTATTTGTTTGCAAAGTAATTAGCAACTAATGGCTACACCAGGGGGCCCACCTACAGGGACAAAATGTCTTATCTCTCCTAAGCAGAACACAGACTTAACTTTCTCAAAAGAAGTGATGCACAAACTAGCACTCCTCTTTTATTTGAAACCATTAATGCATAAAATCATGCTTTTATTCTGAAGTTTATACTTTCATGGACTCCAGTTACCTAAACATACAGGCAAGATAGGAAAGCAGTCAAGTAATAAATAATCTAATTTAAGTGAATTTCCTTCCAAAGAAATTGGAAAAAGTAATAATCTCTTAATGCTATTACGGTAATTCTGATGAAAATTCCTGTTTTTCATATGCATATGTAATAGTAAATGTTGTCAATGAAAGCACAATAGTATTTGGAGTGCAGCATACTGGAAAAGGTTGGCAAAGTTATTAACGCTGAGTGTAATTGTCTTCCAAGTGCCTTAATTAATTCATAAGAAACAGTTGCACCAAGTATTTTAAATAATTAATGAGAAAATTTCCTTCTTTCATCTTTTGTTTTAAATGCGAGAGATAGAAATTTATATAAAGATTCATATGTAACTATCTCCAAGCAATTTAAAAGCATGGCTTCAACTTAAAGGGAAGGATTTCTCTCACCATAGTTATTTCAAAGAAAAGAACATAGTGTACTGTCTTTTTTAAAAGAAAAATTTCCCTCTGAGGGATTGGGGGGTTTCCATGAAGACAATAGGTTTGTGAAAAATAACCAAGAACAGAATGTTTTAAATTTGTAATCTTAAGAAAAACTGAAATTAAGGGAAGAATATAGCTGCTAGTTGGGAAGATTTTGAAGTGGCCACTCCCTGCAAAAGGTACGGTACTTTTAGTTCTGTGCTCTGCTGTAGCTCTTCTCCCAGTCCCTTCCTGACGGTCAGCTTTATCATGCTTTTAAACAACTCCTGGACTTCAGGAAAAATAGTCTGCTCATAGAGGAAATAGCCTTTACAGGATGGAACTCAAACTCATCAGATTTTATCCCCTCATGATGTCATAAACATGCCAAATTCTCCTATGCAAGCTCTAGAGCAGGGGTCCTCAAACTATGGCCCGCGGGCCACATGCAAATACAAATATTGTATTTGTTCCCGTTTTGTTTTTTTTTACTTCAAAATAAGATATATGCAGTGTGCATAGGAATTTGTTCAGTTTTTTTTTAAACTATAGTCCGGCCCTCCAATGGTCTGAGGGATAGTGAACTGGCCCCCTGTTTAAAAAGTTTGAGGACCCCTGCTCTAGAGTGAACAAAAGATTCACATATAAAACATCAACAGGCACATGTAAGATGGTGTGCAGATATACAAGTAAAGCCATGCTGACAACTGCTAGACAGATGTGAGCAGAGCAAGGACCGTGGGCCAAGTACAGAAAGCCAATGCTTTACAAGGGACTAAACAAGAACCTTGCTCCAAGGTAACATCTTCCCCTCACACATCCTTGGTCGTGAAGTTTAGACCCCCTGACCTTTTCCTCCCTAAACACAACATCTAGGCTTCAGTTGTATTTCAGCTCCAGGCCCAGAAAAGTAGCAAAACCAGACAAGTGACGCTGTGGCTGACCTCAGAACCCGCTCATTGACTGTGAAATGATGCCCTGCCCTGGCACAGACCGAAGAGTGGAGACCACGACCCTGAAGAGCACACCCGGAGAGCTGATGAATATTCTATTGAGATCCTCCCTGAGACCCTCCTAAGATTTCCACCTGCAAGAGAGAGAGATAAATGCTCAGGACAAAGGACCCAGTGGGCACTCCCCTATCCCTCTCTTCTTCCCCCACAGGCACGCATCTCCTAACCTCTAAGGGAGCCCATGAGACTTGCAACCATGAGAGCAATGGACAGCAGCAGCTCGTCCCAGGCTACCCTCCTGACCCTGTCTCCAAGGCCCCCTTTCCTCTGACTTTTCAGTGAGTCCAAACAGCCCAGGCTAAGCTTCCCTGTTGCTTCTTTTATGACCTTCCTTGTTTCACTGTCCTAAGTATATTTTTGCTGCCGTCATGGACCCAATACCCTTTGGCTCAGTTCTGTGTACCACTTCCCTTTGGATATCTCCATCAACCAACACCTTTTCCTTAAATAAATTCAATTTTTCTTTATTCGCCATCTGAGAAGGCTACTTAGCCTGTCCGGCACCACTGACTTGAACCTTTCAAGAATGAATAAACTAGTAAACTTTATACCGCATGGAGGTTTTACCTATAGTAGATAGGCTGTACGAAAATGGGGGTGAAGTTAATCTGGGAAGATTTGGAGTAAGAGAGACTTCATGCCCCCCAGATTCCTTTCTCTCTGAAACATTCATTCATTCATCCACTCATTCGACAATTGGTTGAGTACCTACTCAGTACCAGAATAAATAGAATAGGATTCGTGCCCTCATGAAGCTCACCATGGTGCTGGGTGAGGTAGAGGTGGAAAGAGAGGTAACGAACAATAGTATATAAATAAATAAATTCATACATTAATTAGAAGAATGAAAAAAAAAGCAGGTGAGCCAGCCAGGTAAGCTGGATCAACAGCTCATAAGGTGGGAAAAGCCTCGCTGAAACTCTGAGTAGTGCCCCCCACAGAATAGTGCCTCAGAGGTGCAAGTTGAAAGGATGTTATAGCACATGCTGGAGTCACTCCAGCCCCCAATTTCTTCTGTATGAAGAGGACATTCCAATATTTTTATTTGTCTTGAGTTGATTTTATCTGGATTTACATAATACCAGTTTATATATAGATGAGTTGATAAAAATCAAAGGTAGGAAAGAATTTCTCTGAGAATGGGGGTAAATGTTTTCTCATATGTACAAGTATTCACTCAACAGATTTTTATAGAGCACTTAATATGTGCCAGATACAATTCTAGATACTAGAGATCAGTGTTGAACAATACAAGGTAATCAGAGAGTGATAAACTCATTAAAAGGAATACAAGGTGATGGTGATGAAACTTAACAGGGGTGGGTGGATAGGTAGGTAGGGAGAGGGTCTTTAAGTATAACAGTTGGGCAGGCCTCCCTAAGGAGGTAACATCTTAGCTGATGCTGAGGAGGACAGAAAGTCAGCATGCCAAGATATTGAGAAAGAACATTCAGTTTAGGAAACAGCAAGTACAAAGGTTTTGCAGCTGAAAGCACTGGAGTATTTGAGAAAGAAAAGGCAATAGCCAAAGGGAAGTGAGTGGTACCAGATGCTATTATTTGGAGAACCAGGCTGGGCTCGATAATGGATGGCTTTTATAAAAATCATGGTAATGAATTCAAGTGCAAGGGGAAGCCAGGGTAGCATTTTAAGCTGGGACTGACAGGATAGTCTGAGCAGTTTTTTTTTCCCTCTTAATCCTAACCTGAGAATACTTTTTCCATTGATTTTTAGAGAGAGTGAAAGGGAGGGAGGGAGAGAAGGAGTAGGGGGAGGAGTAGGGGGAGAAGGGGGGGGGGGAGAGAGAGAGAGAGAGAGAGAGAGAGAGAGAGAGAGAGAGAGAGAGAGAGAGGTGGGAGACACATTGATTGGTTGCCTCCCACCAGGTATGTGCTGACTGGGAAATGAACCCTTCAATGCAATGCTCTAACCACTTAGCAACACTGACCAGGGTGTCTGAGCAGGTTTTACTCACAAAACTTCTGACATGAAATGTATATGGGTTTTCCATTCCAAATAATTCTCCAATTCTCTGCAGACAACAACTGGGTGCCCTACAATTCAATTCAATTCTGACACTAACTACCAGGAGTTAACACAAACCCCACAGGTTCAGTCCCACAAAACTGCATGCACTTCAGAAACCAGTCACAAATCCTAGGTGGCCACTTGTACTTCTGACCAACTGGCCATAAATCCAGGGTTTCCATGAGCCCTCCTCAGGTTCAGTTATGTGCTAGAATGGCTTCCAAAACTCAGGAGGTACTTTACTTATGTTTCCTGTTTTATTATAAAGGACTAGAGGCCCGGTGCACAAAAATTTGTGCACTCGGGGGGGAGGAGGGGTCCCTCAGTCCGGCCTGTGCCCTCTCACAGTCTGGGACCCCTCTGGAGATAACGACCTGCTGGCTTAGGCCTGCTCCTGGGTGGCAGAGGGCAGGCCCAATCCCTAGGTGCAGCCCCTGGTCAGGCTCAGAGCAGGGCCGATTGGGGAGTTGGGGCGCCACCCCCTGTCATGCACAGAGCAGGGCGGATCGGGAGGTTGCGATGCCACCCTCAGTCATGCTCAGGGAAGGGCCGATTGGGGGGTTGGGGCACTGCCCCCTGTCACTCACAGAGCAGGGCCCATCAGGGGGTTGGGGCACTGTCCCCTGTCATGCACAGAGCAGGGCCCATCAGGGGGTTGGGGTGCCACCCTCTATCACCCACAGAGCATGGCCGACCAGGGGGTTGGGGTGCCACCACTCTCACACTCAGGGCAGGGCCGATGGGGAGGTTATGGCTCTACCCCGTCATACACAGAGCAGGGCCTGTGGGGGGTGGGGGTTGGGGCGCCGGACCCTGTCACAGAGCCGCAGGGCGATCAGGATGTTGGGGTCCTCCCCCCTATCAGGCACAGAGCATGGCTTATCAGGGGGTTGGGGTGCCTTCCCCTGTCACGAACAGAGCAGGGCAGACAGGGAGGTTGTGGCCCTGCCCCCTGTCACACACAGAGCCGCAGGGCGATCAGGGGGTTTGGGCGCTGCCCCCTGTCACACTGATCCCGGTGCCGGGAAGCCTCACGGCTCTGCTGATTCCGGTGCTGGGAGGCATATTACCCTTTTTACTATATAGGGTAGAGGCTTGGTGCACAGGTGGGTGCCGGCTGGTTTGCCCTGAAGGGTGTCCTGGATCAGGGTGGGGGTCCCCACTGGGGTGCCTGGCCAGCCTGGGTGAGGGGATGAT